ATAGAGAATAAGGTGCCATTGTCAACGACGGGATTGATGGACGTGATCAAAATGGCCAGGAGTTGGAGACGAAGAGCCCCAGATCGACCCGAAACAAAACCGACGATTGTCATGTCTCAGTAAGTTTCTGTTACAATTTTGCACTTCCAGTTACCGTATCAGCAAGCAATTGCACCAATAACTAGTCAAAATTTGTGATTCTTTACGGATTTCAATTCCTTATCCCAACATCTTAGAGGCAGTACATCTGAGATTACCTCACAATGCTTGTTTGCTATCGAACGTTAGTTTTAGTCTTGAATGAAGTTTATCACCCGCTTTAGGCTGCACTTCTAAGCAACTCGACTCCAAAGGTTTCTACTGCTCGCGTTCTGAAAGCGATGAATTCAAAGTTGCGCTTCAGTTTTGTGAAATAAAACGGGACGATCTTGACTTAGTAATCAGCCGGTCAACTCACAGGCGGATGGTGACATGAAACCAGCAAGCCAGTTGCCATCTGGCAAGTGTAAACAAGCACAGCCCATAGACAGAAACTCTGTTTCAAACATTCTTAGAGATCTCTAAATTGTTGATGTTGGCGATTGTTACAGTAATGGCGTATCCCGAGTCGGTGTATATATCGGAGCCAATATATGTATAGACCAAATGGACACGGACCATGAGGTGGACGTCTTTCATGCCGTAAAAATGATGCGGATAAACCGGCCGCAGCTCATTGACATGAAGGTGCTCTACAGCTAATTTCTTTTGCTGAAAAGTGGTTGAAACTCGAATTCAGGACGAATATAAGTATCTATACGACCTGATGCTGCATTGGTACATGACAAATCCCGAGTATCGAATCTATGACAAGGACGACTCAGGCGAAGAGGATGGTGGTACCAATACCAAACCGTCCTCAACACGGCAATCGCTCCGAGATAAGGATCGGTATTTGCGAGGCCAAAATTCAGTCCGGAAAGATCCTCGCAAACTTGCTGACAGCAACTAGCATTTCTTAAAGCTGGAATTCTTATGTGAACCCTAAAAACGCTGTGATCCTGCTCAGAGCATCGCAT